CACACACACACACACACACACACACACACACACACACACACACACACACACACACACACACAAACAGGCAAACAGACAAACAAACACACACACATGCGCACACACACACACACACACACACACACACACACACACACACACACACACACACACACACACACACACACACACACTCACACACACACACACTCACACACACGCACACAGACACACACACACACACACACACAAACAGACAAACAAACACACTTACATATACAAACAAACACACCCACACACAAACAGACAAACAAACACACTTACACAAACAATCATACACACACGCACACACACACGCTATGCAACATGAGCAACAGACAGGGTGAACCCGTAACAATTCTACGAGCACCATTCAGTCTGTTTCTTACGAATTTTCTTGTCTTTTCTTCAACACTTTCTAATTCCTACGCGATGCGACTCTTAAAGTTATTATTTTTTCCTCAAATCCATCAAGAAAATAAGAGAGCACGTCTTTGAATTCTTTTTATCGAGTTTTCATTTTAGTGAAAATCCAGTGGCAGGTCTTTCTGTTGAACCTTTCTGTTGCAGTGTGTGCGCTTCTGAATACAAATCTTTCTGGCCATATTTATATCGTCTGTTCTTACGTGCTTCTGTCAGCGTGTATTTTGTAATACGTGTGTGGTTGTACGTCTTCATACAATGGCATAAATATATGTTGAATAAGAACACTGCAGGAACTAAACTTGGTATTCATTCTCTATCGCGAGAGTGTAGGTTGAATGTGTACCCACTGGAGAGTTACGTCTGCAGGACAAACATTAATTTTAACATATAAAATATCGCAAATAAACGGGTTGCTTTGACCTCCGTTTACTCAGTGCCAAGTAAACATTTTTATGCAATACCTCGACTGTGCGTTTCTCATGTTTGTTTCCACTTTCGTCAAGGTAAAAGAAAAATATTATAAGTAACAAAGACCCTGGAGAAAAGTGCTATCATACGTTGCAAAAAAAAAATCAAACGCATTTCATATTTGACTTTTCAGTTTTATGCAATTTTCTTTGTTTCTCCTTCCCACGGGTGTTATTTGCATGATTTGCCCGAGGTAAAGTGAATCAACGTGTACATTAAGCATTAGTTCACACACACACACACACCTGCACCCTCCCGTGAATGAATTTACGTGTACGTTTTACGATTTATGTACGAATGTCTGAATATTATGATCTTTCTGTTTAGATTGGAATATCTTTATCTGTCTGCTTGCTCATCTAGCTATCTATCGATCGAGAGATTGATCTTGATAGGTAGATATACTTACAGATACGTGTGTGCGTGTGTGTTGGGGAAGTGAATGGATGGTGTGTGAAACATAGCCCTATATAGATATCTGTGTGTTTGTGTTATATATATATATATATATATATATATATATATATATATATATATATATATATATATATATATATATATATATATATATATTTTATATATATACATATATAGATATAAATTGTGTGTGTATATATATATACATATATATATATATATATATATATATATATATATATATATATATATATATATATATATATATATATATATATATATATATATTTATATATATATATATATATATATATATATATATATATATATATATATATATATATAAATATATATATATATATATATATATATATATATATATATATATATATATATATATATATATATATATATATATATATATTATATGTATATACATATATAAATATAAATTGTGTGTGTGTATATATATATATATATATATATATATATATATATATATATATATATATATATATATATATATATATATATATACGTGTGTGTGTGTGTGTACATAAATATCTATATATATATTTATATAGATAGATAGATAGATAGGTAGATATAGATATAGATATAGGTATAGATATATACATATACATTAATATATATATATATATATATATATATATATATATATATATATATATATATATATATATTTATATATATACATATATATATATATATATATATATATATATATATATATATATATATATATATATATATATATATATATATGCATATATATGTATATATATATATATATATATATATATATATATATATATATATATATATATATATATATATATATATATATATATATATATATATATATATATATATATGTATATATATATATATATATATACATATATATATATATATATATATATATATATATATATATATATATACATATATATATATATATATATATATATATATATATATACATATATATATATATGTATATATATATATATATATATATATATATATATATATATATATATATATATATATATATATGTATATATATATATATATATATATATATATATATATATATATATATATATATATATATATATATATATATATATGTATATATATATATATATATATATATATATATATATATATATATATATATATATATATATATATATATGTATAAGTATAAATATACATATATATATATATATATATATATATATATATATATATATATATATATATATATATATATATATTCATTTTATGATCAGAATTTAAAAAAAAAGATGCGATAACTTGAAATTCATTGCCAATATAGCGTTTTATATAAGCTCATAATCAATATGCAAACATCTACATAAATATGACATGGTGCGCTAAAATATCAATATCATGATACAGCATACTGCAGCATATGATATATAATATTAATAAGAGTTTTCCTCTTTTCCCACTTTTCAAAATTTAATACATATTGAAGTATATCTTAAATTACTATACTGTTTATAATTAAACACAAAATATACTACACCTATTCACATTCTGAAAAAAAAAAATGATATCATTGCATTTACAGCCATTATAACGGATGTTTTTTTTTTCTTATTGTGGTTTGTGAGCATCATATCACGACGTTATCTTAAGTTGTTATCGTTTTAGGTAATCGTTTGCATGAAAGTGATATCATTACGTCAGCTTCTGTTATAAGGGACTATGGCATTCTTTATAACCATAGTGGTGATTTGATCATCATCTTAGTGTTTAGCTTATTAGGAATTTTATATCGCTGTTATAGAAGTTCTTTACGGTTTCTTTGATGTATGCCAGGAAGTAGTTATTTATTGTTTATTATCTACAGTGTGTATCTGTGTGTGCGTATGTACATACATACATAGATGCACACACATACAAACACACAAACATGTGTGTGTGTGTATATATATATATATATAT